TTGAAAGTGTGTAAACTTATTCATGGATTTAAAAGTCTATGGAATTAGAATAAACACTAGCTTGATCAGATATGGATTCCCTGTGATTCATCGGTATAAGAAAAAGCCTTTTAAAATAGCTGTTTTTTCTTTCAACCATATTTTGATCAATACCAAATGAGCATATATAATTTACAAAATGAGCTACAAAAAATTCAAAAACTCTTTTGAAATCTCTAATATGCTAAAAATATTCATTTGTGTATGTTCATATTATTTAAGTCTTATACTCATTTGAGTTTCAAATAAAACACGTTTCTATAATATGCGCATGTAATAGATTCATATTCCCCTAAATATGATTAAATAAAAGGATAATCGCAACAATAGGAATTTAAAGTTTAAATTCCCAAAAATGTCGAGTTTCTCCCTGGCGGCTTAGTCGTGTTGCGTAGGGTTTTGTCCCCCTAGCGGTTTTGCCGTCGCGTAAGGTTTCCTTCCACCAATTGTTTGTGCAACTCTTCTTCTCTAGGCTTCTAGAGTGTTTTTTAAGTTTAGATTGTTGGTTCTGGTTTTAGGATTTAGGCGACTTTCAGATTATCCATTGAATCTCGAAGCAGCACCAAAATTTCATCTTTGTTTTCTGGTCTCTTTTCTCGGCTAGTGCAAGTCAATCTTGAAGGAGGCGTGAGTACGACTGCAGCATTTGAAAACGTATCCAAGGTTCAAGAAACAATAACCATGTCTTCTATGGATGATCTAGAGCAGTGTTGTCTCATTCCTGCAATTGAGGAGGAGGTCAAAGAGTTAGTTTCTGGCGAATCATCATGGGTAGAGGGCGGTGGTGATATTGGAGGCGGAATGGGCGGCGAGAATTGAAGATGGGGATAGATGAAGGGCAGAGCAAGGGAGAAGACAAATCGGGGGTGCCCCCCCTTGTCCCGCTGCCTTGGAGCGATCGAGGTGCTAGGGTTTTGAAGATTCATCAGTTATTTAATTTTTTATGGTTTTATTTTCGCGTTATGTTTTATGTTGCTCTGTTTTTTGTTGATGTCTTTAGTTTTAGATCTACAATATGATTGCAGTTTTGCTAGATATTATGTCGTTAGAAGGATCTATATGTTCAGTGATTGCCGCGTCACATCCGCTTGGTGTCTAGCGATTCGTATTGCTCTTTCAGGGGTGATCGTCTCTAAGTCTAACTGTAGGGTTATAGTGTAGTTGGTTAGGGATAGTTGTTGTCAGGGTTGGTCTTTTTGAGTTTGTTATAACAATCTGATTCCTAATGATATTAATATAAGGGGTTTGTTTTAATGATAAAAAAAGTTTAAATTCCCAAAACAGGACTGACTAACTCTTCTTATTTACCCTTTCTCTTGTTCTTCCTAATAGGGTTTTTTAAATAATCATTATAAAACATAAAAAAAAAATACAGACCTCAACCACCACCTCAACCACCTTCCAGCACCGGCACCTCCGATCGCCGAAAAAGATTGCCAAGCTGGGGAAAAGAAAGCTGAATATTTTCACAGAGTGAAAATGTCATCTTCGTGGCATTTTCAGAGAAATGTGACATTTTTTACACAAGATGGCATTTTTCCCCGGCGACCGGAGGTGGTGGTGCTAGGAGGTGGGGGATGCAGAGGTAGTGGCCTACATGTTTTTTTGATATTTTTTAGGTATTTTATTTAATTATTATATTTAAAAAAAATTAATTTCTTTTAATTTTTATTTTATTTTATCCTATGTTTTCTCGATTTTGTATTAATTTATAATTTCTTTTGCGATTTTATTTTCCTGTTATTAACTGATAAACCTATTAGAAATTGTAGGTTGGGGTAGAATAGAAAGAAAATACATATATTACTCCTATTTTGGGAACAAAAGAAGTATAGCCCGTAGATTTTATTATTAACAACTTACAAAACTGTCATTATATAGTAAAATAAAAGCTTATTCCAATAAAAGTGCTCATCTTAAAACGTTATATCGGTTGACACCCCCTTGTAAGTATTATACTCATTTTGGTATAAATAAATTCATTTGTTGTACTCATTTTATAATGTCATACTCAAGTTCATTTCATTGAAATGTTACAATCATTTGAGTATAACATAAAACTCATTTGTATAACTCATACATGTAATATATTCATTTCAAATGATTTATAATATTATTATATTCCTTTACAAAATTGAAACTAGATTGAACAATGAGAAATATAACAATTTTATTAGAAAAATAATTTATAATTCGTCATTCTTGACTTACAATGTCCATTGTGCTCTTTTTTATAGATTTTCACTTGTGCACATTTATTTTTAATAATATACTTATTTTAGTACAACACAAAATTCATTTCAATAATTTACATGTAATAAACTCATTCCAAATATTAAGAGTATCTATGTCAGCTATACTTGAAAAAATATCTTAATCACTGTATACATTCGTATAATAAATATTTGTTAACAACAAAACTCAGCTGCTCTTAACACAACGCATACTGTAAAACTAGTGAGTGCTCATCTTAAATGTAATGATAGAAAAACATAACATTACTCGCTTAAAATATAACACAAAATCCAATAATATTTGAACGCAATATAGAAAAACAAACAGAATGAGTTTCGAACCCGAGACCTTCCGTAAGAGAGAGTGAGACGGCGACCAGCTGGGTTGGACCGCTTCCTTTTGATGTAGTCTAATAAATCTATGTTCTATGTGTACCTTTAAAGTGTCTAAGTTTGGGTGCGGTCTAAAATTGAAATTCAATCCAATTAATAACATCTTTATTATCAATTTCTCACTTCGAGTAATTTCTTAATTTTTTGATATCTCGTACTCGTATTATCTTACTCCCTCCGATCCACTAAGATTGTTTCATCTTTCTTTTTCGATCCGTCTCACGAAGATTGTCTCATACCAAATTTGGGAACATTTGTGTGACTTAAAGTCATTTTTACTTTATTACTACGTATTACTTTATCAATTCAATATCAATCATATACACTCAATTTTCTTAATAACCACATCAAATCTTCATATATCAATGTTAGTGGGGTAGAAACGATAAAAAAAATGTTAGTAAGATAGAAATAGTAGGGGCCTGTTTACTAACAGAGATATTTTCCGGTTTTCTACTTCTGTTTTTCGTTCTCCAATTTTCTGTTTTTATTTTTCAGTTTTTCTATCTCCAATTTTCTGTTTCTATTTTTTAGTTCTCCATTTTCAAATCTAAAAACATGTTCATCAATTTTTTCACCCAGTTCTCTAATTCCACACCCTAGACCCCTACCCCTACCCTTACCACGATCGTACACTCTACCCATACTCCCACACAACCCTTCATACCCACCCATACCTACTCGTAGGGGTCAAGGTAGGGAAGTTATGGGTGGGGGTGGTGTAAGGGGTATGGACCGTATGGTCGGGGTGGGGTGGTAAGGTCTAGGGGTAGGGGTTGGGTGGGGGTAGTGGGTGGGTTAGGGGTAAGGGTGGGGTAGTGGGTAGGGTTGGGGTAAGGTAGGGGTAGGGAGTTGGGATATGATGGCGGTAGGGTGGGACCAGGAGCAGAGTAGGGCCGAGGCAGGGAAAGGGTAGGGTGGGGGTAGTGGGTGGGGTTGGGGTTGGGGTAAGGTAGGGGTAGGGTAGGGAGTTGGGATAGGACGGGGGTAGGGTGGGGGTAGGATGGCGGTTAAGGGTGGGGGTAGTGGGTAGGGTTGGGGTTAGGGTAAGGTAGGGGTAGGGAGTTGGGATAAGATGACGGTAGGGTGGGGCGGGACCAGGGTGGGGCCGAAGTAGGGAAGGGGTAGGGTGGGGGGTAGGATGTCGGTTAAGGGTGGGGGTAGTGGGTAGGGTTGGGGTTGGGGTAAGGTAGGGGTAGGGTAGGGAGTCTGGATAGGATGGCGGTAGGGTGGGCCCGGGATCCGGGTTGGGCCGAGGTAGGGGAAGGGTAGGATGGTGGTGAGGGTAGGATGGCGGTACGAGGGTGGGGGTAGGATGGCGGTGGGGTGGGGCCGAGGTAGGGGGCATGTGGTAAGGGGTAATATACGGGTGGGGGTAGGGTAGGGTAGGGTGGGGGTAGGGTAGGGTGGGTCGAGGTGGTAGGGGGGTGGCGGTAGGGTGGGGTGAATCTGGGTGGGGCCGAGGTAGGGGTAGGGGGTGGGGTAGGGTCATTATAGGGAAAAATGGGTACGCGGGGTGGGGTTGGGTACGTAGGGTAGGGGTAAGGGGTAAGGTACGAGGATGGAGGTACCGGGATGGAATCGACATCGGAGCGGGACCGGACCCACCACTAGGGATGTTTTTACTTGGACTGTAATTTGCTGGTCTGGTCTGGTCTGGTCTGGTCTGATCTGGTCTGGTCTGGTCTGAACTGGTCTGGTCTGGTCTGGTAAGGTCTGGTTTCTTTGTATTTTTATAACTATCCAGGTCTGGTCTGGTCTGGTCTGGTCTGAACTGGTCTGGTCTGGACTGGTCTGGTCTGGTCTGGTCTGGGGCAAATTACAGTCCAAGTAAAAACATCCTAGGTGTAAGTATGCAAAATTCATTGCAGCGGTACTGTAGCATCTGCATTTTCCAAATTTGGAAAACTAGTAAAAGTCACTTTTCCAAATCATTAAGGAAAAGAGAGACATGTCTCATTTTTTCCGTTTTGGAAAACGATTTGGTAAACGCGTTTTTCTTTGTTCCTTTCTCCAGTTTTCCAGCAATTTCTTTGGTAAACATGTTTCCTGTTTTCTGTTTTCCAGTTTTCCAATTTTCCGGAAAACTGCAAAATATTTCTGTTAGTAAACAGGCCCTAAGTTTTTTTAGTGTGAAATACGCGAGCAAGGCACGACAAAACACCAATACCCAAAACTTGAAATCGGACCTTTCTTCTTGCACTGGGTTAAACTCCAAAACCCAAAGTTCGAAATTGGGCCTCTCTATCTTGCACTGATGGTCTCATTTGATTTCCTTTTCTCGCATGAGGAGTAACTAGGGTTTAAATCTCCGAATCCTATATAGACAGAAGAAGAAGAAGCCATTGAGCTATTCTTTCCCTGGGCGAGCACAATCAATTCAGTTGTTGTTCATTTTTCTATAGAATAAGTGCGTGTTTTCTTCTGAAATTTTCAAGTAAATGCGTGTTTTATGGGTTTTAGCCATGTGAATTGAATCAGTCTTTTCGAGAGTTGGGAAATGATGAGAGTTTGTATCAGAGGCTCGTAATTGACGTGCTGTGCTGAGTATTGATCATTTTGCACGTCAGTCTGATCCCTTTTAAGTGCGTTTTGTTTTTGTTATTAGTCTTTACTGCTACGTTTATATGTCATTCGGATGCTTTTTGTTCTTCAGATGTGGCTCTCGTATTGGGTTCTTTTGAAAATCGAAATAGATTGGATAAAACTCGCACTTTTGACTGCCAATTTCGATACGAAATTACTAATGAGTGGCTAATCCTAATCGTCAATGCAATTCGACACCAGTTTAGGCTTTTAGATGTTCCGGCTAAGCTTCCTTGACTATTCATGTGGCTATACTTTTTTATAGTTTTATTTCAAACACTGATTTTTGTTCCCAGAAATTTGGATTCATATGATGGTTTGAGTACGGAGTATATTATTCAATCCCATTGTTTCACGTTTAATTAATTTTCTGGGGGCGGGTACCTAAACTCGTAAAATCAGTGTTAATTTAGTCCACTTGTGCATTAGGCAGTTTAAAACGCTGTGTTGGCAATTATTAAGCAATAGTGTGTACAGTGTGGATTGCTAGTCAGCATCCAAATGTGCGTGCGCATATTGTTCTGGGGTAGAATCTGGTGGGATCAGGCACACGGACATCGTAGATGTCCCACGGTGCCTTCTCGATTGTGAATCGCATGACGTTCTCCATCTCCGGTTGGTTGAGCCTAAATGACACCCTAAAAATGCTTTCCCATTCTTCCTCGTTCTACTCCGGTGACTTCCTCCAGCGGCTTCTCATTCGACGGATCGCTAGAATATTCACTCGTAATTTACATAATGTAGTTTGCAAAGGAGATGCCAGAAAAATATTCCCGTGTTATACTTCCTCTATTTTTAAATAAATGCAACGGTCAATATTTTACACTTGTCGAGACACAACTTTGATCATTAATATATATAAATTTATATTATTAAAAAAATTAAAAAAAATAGATATTGAAAATTTACAATGAGACAAATTTAACAATATTTTTTTCATAAAAATATATTCATACATTAATAAATAAAACGTAGTTAAAGTAGAACATGTGAATAGTGTAAAATTCCATATGTTGCATTTATTTAAGAACGGATGTAGTATTTACTACTATTACGTCCGTGAACCATAAAAAATGGGATGGAGTTCCGATGTCCAGAAAATGCTCCAATCTAGGGCTAGCAATCGCCATCTTCCTTTTCCAGTCCTCTTTCATCACAACAGCCAAAATTGAAAAATTGAGATTGGAGAACGAAGATAGATTACTCTACGATGGAATATTACGAGGAATTGAAAGCGGAAACCAAACTGACCTTGACGAAGCATCAGGAATGGAGCTCCGAGCTCCGATGTCCAAAAAATGCTCAAAGGGCCACATTTATGGTTGTCGAACTATCAGAGTATCAGGTACAAGGATGATGAGTGTTTTTTTAGTTTTTTTTGCCATGTCACTAATCAGTTTTCCAACTCTGCATTTTAAACTGACTAATACATGAGTGAACTAAATTAGCACTAATTTTACGAGTTTAGGTACCTCTCAGTCACACTTACACTATCAAGTACTCTTTACTCTCCTATTTATGGTTGTCGAACTATCAGAGTATCAGGTACAAGGATGATGAGTGTTTTTTTAGTTTTTTTTTGCCATGTCACTAATCAGTTTTCCAACTCTGCATTTTAAACTGACTAATACATGAGTGGACTAAATTAGCACTAATTTTACGAGTTTAGGTACCTCTCAGTCACACTTACACTATCAAGTACTCTTTACTCTCCTGCTCCCAATTTGATATATTCATCTGAAACTTTCCTTCATTTCATCTCTTAGGTTCTTTTTAGAACCAACACAATTATTTAGAAGGATATATGTTGAGCGTTGAGTTCACACTTGTGAAAAAAGAATGATTTTTAATCATAAATCATTGTTTAAATCTCTTCCTTGTGTCACTCTTTATTAGGTGAACTATGAACGCATGACTTATGTAACACTGATATGAGTATGCGGAAACGGGTGCGGGATACGACAAAAAGGAGTCTCTATAAATAGACTATAGATCATAATTTCATATAAGAGGAGTCTCTATAAATACACTAAAGCATTCAATTTTTTACGATAACTTTTTAATCTTACAATCCTTGCATATTAAAGGCAAAATGGCAGGCATAAACAAAAACAGATTTTGTGAGGTGTTGAAAGACAAATGGAGTTATTTTCTTGATTAATGTTGAAAAAACAATTATTTATCAAATTAGTGTTGTGTTAAAAAATATTTACCAAAATATTGCTGCATTAACTATGGTTAGGAGAAAAGTTATTTCAAGTGGCGACTTTTTCTTGAAATACGCGCATGCGAATTGGAACAAATGGGAAGTGGAATGAAGCAATTGCGCAAGAGAGATTATATGTGGGGCCCCAATTCAAAAATGCCTCTGCTCTGCGCGCTTCCTACACTACTGTGCGCACCCATTTTTTGTCAAATTTGGACAAGTTTGTCCGTAGTCAATTGCTCATGCCGCTTATAATGTGCTAGGCGCACCACGTGATTGCAAGCATCTCTTGATTTTCAATTTTAATGGGCCTCATTGATTTTTGTGAATCATCTTTATTCTGGTCATATTTATGTAATTATTTCTTGATTTTTATTATGGAATCCTCGGATCACAAGAGTCGTGTAACAATTTGACACCTATTCTCCCTCCAATAATTTGCTTTGGCCAACTTTCCTTTTTTTTTTAATAAAATGTTACTAGTATAACTTTTCCAATTTTGCTCATATTTTTATAAAAAGTATATCAAAATAAATAGTTTTTTATGATCTTTCATATGACACCAATATCAAGTGGGACTCAGAATTAATGAGATGATTTGGAGTCTTTTGCGCGGAAGTCTCCTGGCGTGTTGCTCTCTTTGCATAAGCCGCCACTTCAAGTGACGGTTTTATTAACCACAGTTTATTCGAGCAGTATTTTGGGAAATACTTTTAAACCAACTCAATCTGGTAAATATTTATTTATTTGACATTATTTTAAGAAAAAAATCTATTTTTTGTAAGAATTAGAGCACAAATAAAAAAGTTGCAACAATCTAAAAAACGAGAGATTTTTTTTTATTTGTGGGACCCAAGCTCTTTTGTGTCTTCCTTTGCTACATACGGAAGTTTGCCTAAGCCGCGGATGGATTGGCGGATCTACGAATTATACCATCGTTAATTGTGGCAGTAGAATGGGAAATATTTTTAACTCTACCTTAATTTTTTAAATACTTTTTTATTTAGCATTATTCTTGAAAAAAAAACACTCAATGAATGAGGCCCATTAAAAGTAGAAATCAGGGAGAGATGCTTGCAATCACGTGGGTGGTGCGCCTTGCACATTAGAAGTGGCGTGCCTCGTGAGCAATTGACTAAGGACAAAGTTGCCCAAATTTGACAAAAAGTGAGTGCACACAGCATTGTTGGAGGCGCGCGGAGCATCACCCACTCAAAAACAATTCTCCTTTTTCTTAAAACTGTAATAGTTATTATATTTTTGCTCGAAATTTTATAAAAAATATATCAATTTTCATAATTTTTTACAATATTTTATATGAAATCAATATCATATACAAAAAAAAAATCGGAAGTGAAAAAGCAAGTTGCAGCAATGCCCTGTGAATAAATCTAATTCTAGACAAATATTTTTTACAAAAATCTGAAGGTATGATTGATGAGGCTTTTCAGACCAAACAGTTTTCATATATAAATCAAAGAGCTAAAATTAAGATCTAACAATTATTTTTACATCTTTCAGATATTTTATTCATCCGAAGTAACAAAAATATATTTATTATGAGATAGGGCGTGACTTTAAAATAATTTGGTGGTTATTGATGTTGGCTATCAACGATGGTGAATGGTGACGATAGAAACTGACACTAGTGATACTTACATTGGTGGCAACCGGGAGTGGTGGCAGTCAGCGACAATGGCAACCGATGTCAGTGGTAGCTGGTGATGTGGACATCGTCATTGGTGGCCGTTGGAGGTTGTGGGCAGCTAGGGGTGGACCGGTTCCGGTTCGGGCCCGGCCGGGCCTCGGTTCAGAAAAATGAGGCCCGAGCCCGAACCGGTGGTGGGCGGTTCCGAGTCCGGTTCCGGGCCAGACCGGGCCGGGCCGGGCCGGGCCACCCAGATTTTTATTTTTTTTCTTCTTCTCTTATTTAACCCCCTACCCCTCCCTCTCCACCCCAAACCACCCCAAACCACCCCAAACCACCTCAAATGGCCTAAAATACCTAATCCAACCCAAAACTTAAAAAAAATTCCAAAAAAAATAAATAAATTCCGGCCCGAACTGGGCCGGGCCGGTTCACTAAACTGGAGGTCCGGGCCCGGACCACTTTACCATCGGGCCGGGAGGCCCGAACCGGGCACGAACCGGTTCACCGGGCCAGTCCGGGCCCGCACAGTAGCGGGCCGGTCCGGTTCCGGGCCGGTTGGCCCGGCCTGAGTCCATCCCTATGGGCAGCATTCCATAGTGATATTGGAAGTTATAATTATGATTACTTTTACCGGTGGACGTAGCTCAACTGGTAGCGAGGGAGTGCCACACGGGTTAGTCCCGGATTCGAATCCCGACAACTGCGATGAGAGGTTATTATGCTAAAAATGCATAGGGCCTCTGCAAGTACCGGGGACGGAGTCCCACTCTCTATCTGTCATATTGTGATTATAGTCCAATTTACATTTTCTCATCGTGCCGTCCAGTCGGTGTTGGGGGGCCCTCAGGCATGGAGTGTCATCCCATTGGAAGCCATCAGTAGCAGCAGGAGGCATCAGAGATGGCATGAGATTGGGAATAGATGAATTAAACAAATTGTGTGTTTAACTTTAATTTAACTGAGGGGCAAAGAGGTAAAAAAAATTAAAACCCCTTTTAAATACACATGGAGGTCATGTGTTCTTACTAAAGAAGACTTTTAATGGCATTTACAATTAGAAACAACCCTACTTTAACCATATAATAATACTTGCATTTCACTGCAATAATAATGGTGTAACAACCCAACAGCGTGCTTAGGTGCAAAGTTATACTACCTCCGTTCCAAAAACCTTTGTCATTTTCAAAAATTAGACGAACTATATATTTTTTATTGGAAATGATTTACAATATAAAAATTATATGAAAATGTTATTTGTTTAAACTACTTTCATAAAAGTATATAAGTTATAACTTTCTAATATTATACTATTCAAAAGTGAGGTTCAAATTTTTTGAAATGACAAAGTTTTTGGGGACGGAGGTAGTATGTTATCTGTTGCCTCGAAATAGATCACATGTAGGGATGGAGCCAGGCCATTGAGAGCAATTACAAAGAATATTTTTGGGGAAAAAATTACACACTTTTTACACTAAAATATAAGACACTTTAAATTTCGAATGAGTCAGGGGCTCAGGGCCTTGGTTGCCCCCCCCCCCCCCCCCCACCCACACACTTTCGTTCCTGATCACATGTAAAAATGAAAAAATTACAAGAGCAACATATTCAGGATTCAGGTCAAGTAAGAAAGGCAAACACAAAGTCAGGAAGGCCTGACAGAGGAAGTTAGAGTTCCATTAGAAGTAATTATATACTTCTCTTAAATGATTGAAACACTTTTCTTTTTGGACAATTTCAAAATAACGGTAACACTTCCCTTTTTGGTAACAACAAATAACCAAAATGACAATCATACTCTTAAACTCTATAAGTCCATCTTCTGCACCCTACACCCTGCACCCATATTCCCCGCCGCCCTACCCTTTCCACCCCTCCGGCCACCCTCCATCTTTGTCCATTTCTTCCCTCTCCCAATCTCCAGGCTTTCAAGCTTTTTTCTCAGCCATTCCTTTTTCCCCTCTTTCATAACCTTCTAGTTTTTTCTCTTTTGTTTAATTTAATTTGGAGTTCAAGCTAGAAATCCTAAATTGCGACGATGCAAATATGTTTCTCTGTACTTCCACCAAGATCCAATAGGACTGTAAGGAATAAGTAATGAGCAAGTCTCGGGTAGACTCCAATAATGGATTTAAATAAACCTAAGAGATAAAACCACTCAGACGAGCAATACTATGCAGAGATGTTCGTTGAAGGATGAGGCATGAGAGAGAAAATACTAAGTGTCAATGGCGAAAGATGAACATGGAGCTTGATTAGTTGATTGTCAGAAAGTGTTAGCACCGAAGGGAAAAACAGGAAGAAAAATGTTTTATATCAATTTCTTAAACTTTGCGTGAATTTGAAGGGTTGCATTTAAAACGAACAGAGGAAGTATTTATGAAAAGGAGAAACACTCTATAGTGCACAATGATGAATGATAGCATTCAAACTTTGACAGAGAGATTGTGTCAATCATTCCCTTCGGCAAGTCGATGTTTGTTCAGCACTGATTCTATTCAGATTTCAAAAAGCAGAACTGTAAAGAAATAATAAGGTTACTGATGAGTTAACGAAGGAGAGACCCTGAATTTTTCATAGCTTGACCTCCACATCAACTCCAGCAGGAAGGTCTAGCTGCATCAAGGAGTCAATCGTTTGGGCAGTTGGGTAAAGAATGTCAATGAGGCGCTGATGTGTTCTAATCTCAAAATGGAACCTGGCATCTTTGTGCACATGTGGGGATTTAAGCACACAATGTACTCTCTTCTTGGTCGGCAGCGGTATGGGACCCATGGTCTTTGCATTTGTTGTCCTTGCAGCATCCATTATCTGCTTGCAGGAGTCTTCTATCAAAGGCACCCAGTATGATTTCAATTTGATCCTAATCTTCTGTTTTGGTGCCACCTGAGTACATAGATTCTCCATTACCACTATTAAGTTTGATGGCATAATCAATTAACCGCAACAACAACAACAGTAATAATAAAGAGAGTGAGATATATCATACATTGTCCTTGGAGTAACTCAAGATCATATATGTGCTCCTTTTGGGTTATCAGACTGAATTATTCATTTGAACGTAATAGGCTATAATACCAAATTCAGACTTGAGCTTCCATACTAAAAGGCAAACTTACTAAAGGGAATAACCCAAGTTTAACAGATTATATCAAAATATATCACACTAAGAATACAACTTAATCTCAGCCTCACATCTAGCTTCAGTCCTGGTTGGAAGAAGAATCCATCCAAGAATAGTAAAGAAGAATCCATCCAAGGCTCGTAATGTTCTTCAAAAGTGTTTTTTTGTTTTCCAACTACTGTCATCACTTAATCAGAATACATACTACATGCAACAATTACAAAGAGTGGATGTCAAACAATCACACAGCCACCACATGGGCAGGACAAAATCATAAGCAGGAAACCAGAAAATGACAAATAATAACTGGTGCAATATTTGATAAGTTACTGTTGGCAGATCTCCCACAATGTGAGTGTTAGTAAATTGCAATAAGAATATAACTAGGTCTTGCAGTAGGGACATGTTTTAACTCACTTTCGCTGGAGAATATCCTCTTGAGTATCATTTGTTATCTTTCCATTTCTTTCTGAGTATTACTGATTGATTTTCACCTTCTCAATCTAACTCACAAATCACAACCTAACTTGTTATTGTTCCTTCCCCTTTAACTCTAGCACAATAAGGGGTCTGCAAATAAATCTCTCCATACTATACTAGTAAAACATGGTTGAAACTCAAAAACTATGGCACTAAATGTTTCTGCAACAAAAGAAATTAAATATGGCCACATGCCCATATATCACACACAAAAACTCTTTCTTGTGTATTTACTATGGAGTGGCATATTTTTATTTAGATGTTCTTAGGTAAATAACATCTATAACTTCCAGTGAGTCAGCTGTGACTCCAAAACTTGAACAATAATCACTGATTGCATGGTTAATTGCAAATGTACGGATCGTACATCAATGCAAGGTCATAAAGCCTCATGTGTCTATACTGTGATTAGGTCAAACAGGAATAACGAACAACAATAGAGCTGAAACTTGCAAAAAAGTCGGCTGTAGTATATATACGGAGTATCTTTTATGCACACCTCCCACTAAAAAAATTATTTCTTGGATAAAACAAAATTTTAGTCCAAACTAAAGTGTGTGTGCGTGCGCACACACATACAGTTGGATTTGTACTTCAACAGCCCACTGCAACTTCCTTTACAGCTCAGGAAAATGCCAAGCACAGTAAATGGGAATCTCACTATCTCAGTTCCTCACTCACTTCAAGCAATGCAGATCACAGCACATCCAATCCACTTTAGTTATACAGTATGGGTAAAATTTTCATGCAACACAATGTAAAGCCTAGGTATACATTTGCAAACAAACACTATGCAATAAAATAAATCAGCCAAAAGCATACAGTTCCTGAATATATTCAGAGAACAACAGCACGTAGACCAGAATACTCCATCTGATATTTAGATCTATTGCTGTAAGAGTCCACTAAGCAGCGCTAGAAGCAGCAATTTTGATCATAGGCAGGGACGGATCTACATTGAGGGGTAGGGGAGCCATTGCCCCTCCCAGTTTTTATACTTTTTAATAGTATTAGTATTCAATATAAAATAATCAGAAAAGTTGGGACCAAAATAACCTGATAGAAGCCTCTATTTGAGATGTTTTTGTGTAGAACTTTTTTATCAAATTTTGTGAGCAATATTTGTCATGAAGAGTAGATTATTTCAAACAAATTTTAGCTTAAAATTGAACCAAGAAGTCAATTAAAAAATTATAGAAAAACATTGTGTTGTTTTATATATATTTTGACTCAATGTTTTTTAATAATTTGTTTAATTGACTTCCTGATTGAATTTTAAACTGAAATTTGATGTAAATAATCTACACATCAGGGATAACATTCTCAAAAAAAATCTTCAAAAAAATCTGGTTGGTTCTTTTTGTTGCTTCTTTGCCCCCCCTATGACTAAGTTCTGGCTCCGTCCCTGATCATAGGTAGCTGGTTAGGCAGCCGGTTGCTTACTATTTATCAAATGACACCTTTACACCCTGCATTTTTTACTTAATTACTAAAACATGAATCATGAAGTTAACCATAGGAAACAATGCTATTTTTTGAATTTACTATCGAGGGTTTTCCTATAATATTACACAAACAATACTCATGAAAATATATGATTGCATTGTCACCTGGTCACTACAAAAACACCCCCATGGTCAATATGCATTAAAAAGGAACATCACCATGGTAATGTGCATTAAAAGTGACTTTTTATCTATTATTTATATTTAACCATATATTTGTCATTACATCTTTACTACGGAGTATTTATGAAGTATTATCAACTTATCATATCTATGTTTAATTTTCCTTTCCTTAGTGATTCCCCCTCTGTCAACTCTTCCTTGTGCTTATTGCATGGGAAAATTATCTTCCCAGGTTCAATTTCCTACAATAGCGGAAACCTTTTTCTAAGCTATCATGTTTTCCTCATACAAAATTACAAATTTCTATATTGGACAGCCTTAACCTTGTAACACTTGTTCTATTAGACATGTAAGGTGAGAAAAGGAAGATAGTAATTTAGTCATTTTCTTTTCTTCCTCAACTACTCCAAGTAATTTCATTCCAATAAAACAAACTACTTTATTTTGATTCCTTCTTGAATCCCTACATATTTTATTTTTTTTGACAAGTCCCTACATATTCTTCTACCAAAGAGTTTAAATTCCATTCCTACTTGATTCCTTTCCGCATACCAAAAAAGCAATTAATTAATTTAATCCTTTGGATGAGAGGTACATATTTGGTAGGACGTAAGAGGTTAAGCTTATTTTGTCTAACACTCTATATCAATGAAAAATTCAACGCATAATGATAAAAACAAAAAGTTGAACACATTATTATTTGCAATATGGAAATTCATTTACTCAAGAAAGTTAGCCACATTTGAAACTTTTGGAAATATTTAGTCCCCAACAGAAACTAATCCCCTGAGCGGAACCAAATAAGAAAAACATCAAAGATGGATAATACCAGATAGAAATAAAAAATGAAATTTACCTTATCAGAGTCAAAGCTGACATCTGGTGATGAAGTAGCAGAAACTTCGTCCTGAGAGACCACAAAATACAAAACACCCCAAAATGAACACCAAAAGAAGAAAGCATTTTTTAAAATTATTTCCACTAAAAATGCGAAACTGAGTTTAACCAAATAGACATAGACCTCGGTATCAGCAGCATCTGCGGAGGAGTCCAAGACATCAGCGGCAGCAAGGATTCTTGATGTCGAGAGTAGGAAGGGTTTGATGGGCTGGAACTTACAAGAATTTGATGGCATAGAAAGAAAAGAGAGTTTTGGTTTAGCCGCAATGGAGGAGAAATTGCATATTGGGAAGAGATATGGAGATGAAATCGCCATTGTTGCTCTGTTGAGGATATGGGATGTCCGCTCTTCGCAAATGCTCTAGTGTGTTTATCCGTTCAAACAAAAAGAAACGCCTTTTAAATATGGAGTAAAAATAAGTAGATTATACACTAAAACATAATTATAAATTGGTGACATGTCACTCTTTTATTGGTTAACAAAAATTCATTATCACTATTATATTAAAGGGGTAATTTGAGTTTGCACCCCATTTTATTGTACAAATTGGATTCGCACCTCATTTTTCAAATTTTTTTTTTGCACCCAACCCATTTTTAAAAGATAAAAATGTCCTCAATCAGGAATATGTTGAAGGTCAACAAAATTGTTAATAGAGGGGCATTTTTGTCTTTTTTGTATGGGTTGGAGTATAAAAGCAAAACTCTTTAAAAATGGGGTGCAAAGTCCAATTTGGACAATGAAATGAGGTGAAAACTCAAATTTTCCTTATAAAAACATTTAATAGATCATATTATTCTTAAACCTATTTTCCAAATTAGGGTATTTTTTTGCCACGTCACTCACGCCACATGTTGCTTATCATTCCATGTCATCAAATCTGAGTGTGTTTTGCTTAGTAAAAAATATTTCAATGGTGAGACTTGAACCCACACCCTCTCTTTTGTATATGAAGGCAAGAACCACTGGGCTACTATTCTCATTTGGTTTGTGGTCTCATTTAAAAATATTTAACATACACCATACTATAGATTTTAACCTATACTCATACGTGGTATAAGATAACTATTTTTTTTTATCATAGTATAAGATATGTAATTAAAAATGTTATAATAACTCAACACAAAAATTATTAAAAAACAAAGTTTTAAAAGTTTATTTAGGAAAAGTTCTTTAAACAGTCTCAACTGAGCTCGGGCTCGACTCGAGTAAGGCTTGGGTTCGATTCAAATTTCACAAATTAATTTTTATCTGTTCGAGTGCAAATAAGGTGCTCGGATTTGAGCTAAAAAATTGTAGAATATTTTATATTAGATTTATACATGAAAATAATCAAATTAATAAATAAGTATAAATGAATGAATAAATAAATACATAAATGAATAAAATATAAATGAATAAATAATCAACATTCATTATTTATTCATTTATATATTTATAGATTCATTCATTTATTTATTTATAAATTGACTTTATTTCAATTTTTCATTATTTGTTTAGCTCGAATAAAAACAGTACGTACATATATTAGTTCTTTCTCAAATCATTAAAGAATATGTTAAATTTTAATTATAGATATTCAATTTAAAAACAAAAATCCAATTAAAAATTATGATAAAAACGTAAATGGATATATGTAATTAAAAAATGTATTTTATATGTTCGAGTTCAAATAAAATCTTCGAAATTGAGCTAAACAAATAATGAAAAATTGAAATCAAGTCAATTTATAAATAAATAAATGAATCTATAAATATATTAATGAATAAATAAATGGATATTAATTTATTAATTGTTGTGTTGAAAAAAGTCAAGCATATATTTTCATATTTGAATAAGCAAATAAATGTTATTATAAGTTATAACTAAGCAAATAAATAGATATTAATTAATTATTCATTTATTCATTTATATTTTCATGATATAATTGTTTACGTTAAGAATATAATGTTTTTAAATATTTTTTTGTGTTGAGTTATTATAACTTTTTTAATTACATATCTCATGTTAAAATCTATACTATGATATATGTGAAATATATTTAAATGAGAGTATTATCCAAATATGCAGAATAGCGTAGCGGTTCTTACCTTCAATTACAAGTGAGAGGTTGTGTGTTCAACTCCCACTGGTGAAACACATTTTTTACTAAGCAAATCACATTCAGATTTGATGACATGGAATGACTAGTTACATGTGCCATAAGTGATGTGGTAGGTAGGGTGACATGGCAAAAAATATTCTAGCTAGTTTGGGAAATAAGTTTAAAAGTGACGTGCAACCGGAGCATGTTGAGCACCATGCTCCACACCCCAAAACGACGTAGTTTTAATCAAATTTAAAAAAAAAAAGTGTGAACAGTACCCGCATGTACAGTATTTTTTTTTAAATTTTCATCCCAGTAGAATGAATGATGTAACTTGTGCATAATTAGATGTAACTCGTGTTGCTACAAATATAACTTCAGTTAACAACATATGTAACTTATGCCCTGAAAAGTAACTCATGTTTAATGAAAAAAAGAGTTTAATTATCCAATTATTTTACATAAATAGTGCATATATGTTTTGTTTTTAATATTAGGTCCATTAATAATGATTTTTAATATTAAAATCACTTTTGATTAAAAAACAGAGGTTTGTTTTGTTGTGTAACTTGTATAGTTTTGTGATGTAACTCGCATATATTAAGATGTAACTTGCGTACATTAAAATGTAAATAACATGTAAACACGATGTAACTTATTGAGGAAAATTGAAATGCAAAACGCGTGTTACAAAATGTAAGTTTAGCCAAAACGAGATGTAATTCTAGTGTATATGAAATGTAACTTTAGGCCATTCAAATGTAAATGGCCTTTATACAGATGTAACTTCCGCCAAAGATATACGGAGCCTAAGCTACACCATCTCCACAACCCTGTTTGATGTTTCTGCAATTGGCAAATGGAGAGCTCTCCACAACCCTATTTGGTGTATCTGCAATTGGTGAATAGAAAGCACGTCTGGAGATTACACGCAACTAATTGTTCCTGATAACTCTAGGGATGTGTGGTGATCGATTCCGGCATCGATATTGAAGGTTCTCAATCCCCTCCGTCGTTCAATCGGCGATTAGAACCCTAATTCGACATCATCTCCCCTTCTTTGTTGGAAAAAAGGCCTTCACACCAGAGGCCCCCATTGATGATCGACCTTGCCTTCAATTTAGATCCATCAACATCTCTCTTTGAGGGAAGCTCCGCGGCGATGAACGATGAAATAATAAGATGAAATTGAAATAAGAACGAAGCTCTGCTATCTTTTTTAATTGTGAAACGATGCCGTTTTAGACCGGGCATACCATGCGCATGGTATGCCGTTCGTACGGTATAATTTGCGCCAGTTTGGGAAAAAACTCTATGATGAGTGGACTTGATTGAGGTGAGATAGTGACAACTTTATTGTAAGCTTCAATTGTATGTCGTATTTCGATCATCCCGAAATGAGGTACATGATTTTTTTGGGGTGGGTTATAAATTCTTTGTTTTTGTGTGCTTGTTTACATAGATCACCAATGCATATAATAAGCATGAGGAAGTTGGATCAAGGAGCGGTTTATCAAACTGAGGTGTGTGTTGTTTTAATGATAAATGATAACAATAACTTACATGTGAGCATCATTAATTTGTAATCTGTTGTCCATAATTTGCTTTTTTGGATTTTTGGATTTAAAGTTGCTTTTTTTGGATTTAGAGTGGTTGGTTAATATTTTCTTTAATAATCTGTAATTTGTTGTTTATAAGTAAAATGAAGGGTCAATTACCACTAATTTCTAAATGAGAAAATTACACAAATAAGACTAAACCTTATAGAAATTGCAAAAGTAGGACACCCACGTTTCCACTTAAGCGCGTAGGACTAATTATGCGGTAAAATGCCAAAAATGACCTTCCTAACCGACTGATATTAATGTAATTTCCGATTGTATGTTTGTATTTTTAACTAGTTTTTATTAGTTCTGGTTGTGGAAATTACACACTTTTGGTGTAATACTTTATTTTCATTTTTATTTGTAATTTAGTTAGATTAGGATTTTTCTGAGCTAAACAGGTCAAAGATCATCCAAGGGATCAAGATTGGACCTTAAAAGATCAAGGAAAGTGCAAGGAGACAAGAAAGATTTCGATTTGGAGAAAATACTCATGTACCCGGTCGGGTATTGCCTATACCCGATCGGGTATTTACTTGATTCGATTGTCCAAATCAAATCCGAGAACAAATGATCGTGGGAGAAGATTTTCGTGAAGATTTGTCACATACCCGATCGGGTATGCCGACATACCCGATCGGGTATGCCCAGAAAAGCGACTTTCTGGGCAATTTCCTAAGATACCCGATCGAGTATCCTATATACCCGATCGGGTATCAGACCCTGCAGCTCCCAAAAGCCTATAAATACACCCCTTTCCTTCACAATAAAATCACCAATTCACATATACTCTTTAGCTCAGTTTAGATTAGTGTTTTCTTTATATTTTCTATCATGTTTAGTCTCCGAATGAGGAGCTAAACTCTTCCATCTTGGTTTTGCTACTTTGAAGCTTAATGAATTTGTAAGTTGTGAGTTATTCTCTTTAATCTTCTTCCTTGAATATTAATTCTTCCTTTAAATACTATTTCTATATCAATGTTGGGGAGTGTTACTAAGATGACAATTAGTTAACATCTTGACATTAGTTATAGTAATAATTATTTCTTCCTCTACGTTAATATTGGGGAGTGTTACTAAGATGACAATTAGTTAACATCTTGATATTAACTATAGTAGGATTCATCTTCTTTAATATTCTTTCTTGAGTATTAATTAATTCCTATTCATATTTCATATTAATATTTTGAACATTACTTAAAGGATCAACTAGTTTTGTTTCATATATTAATTAATACTAGAATCGGTCGATTAATACGCTTGTTATTAATTCGGTCCTTTCATGGTAGTAAACTTGGATTATTAATGCATGCATCTCATGGTTAATAATCTAAGGGGAATTAATTATATTGATTAAACCAATAAACCGCTTGTGTTGAGGTTATCAATCTCAATCGTTTTCATCTTGATTTTATTGCTACTATCAAGTTAATATACGGCGCTTGTTCTATATTGACTCGGTAGTAAGTTTTATTAATGAACGCGTCTCGTTATTAATAACTACCCTCGATGAACTGGATATACTCCTCGATTGAGTATTCGAGAGGAAGATAGTTAAAGATATAACCGGGATCGACGAACATTTCATTAAGTGGATAAAAGCAAAACCAAGTCCTCATCTCTATTAATTAAACTCATTCATCTTAGTGTTAATTAAATTAAATCAAATCAAATCTAAAACCC